ATAGTCTCACATATACACTCCCATTAAACCACAACACATCATTTGTACGCTTTGGTTGTTCAATGTTCAAAACAGTGGATATACAGTATAGTGCAGTGTGTTAATTAACAAGCTTTAGAGGTGTTGTGGTGTGTGCAGCTGTGGTGCACTTGCCTTTTTTCCCCCGTCTTTATGCTAAACTAAACTAACTGGCTGCTTGCTCGTGCTAAATCATTGCCCTACAGATGTGAGAGTGTTATTAGACTAATCTGTTTCTTAGCAAGAAAGTTTCCCAAAACGTTAAACTGTTCCTTTTTAAAGCACATGGTCATGCACACAGGTACAGTACTATCACACAAACACACACACACACACACACACACACACACACATAATTACATTCAATATAAGTATACAGTACATGCATGTGGTAAGTTTTTTTTTCTTTTCAGACAATTTAAGTATTAAATATAACAGATAAGAAAATAACACCAGTATACTGTATCTTACTTTTCTCCTGTGTATTATAGTAGTGTGCATAGAGGAAGGAAACCAGGAAGTGAGAAGGAAACCATGACCATATTGATAAGTCCACTTTGTTGGAGTCCTGATGAACCATCTCATTTATCGAAAAAGTGAAATCCCCCAGTTTTGTTGAGATCTGTGTATAATATTTAGAATGACTGAATTTCACATTTTCCTGCATAGAATGAGTCAAACAGTGGCACACTGCTGGTTTATTGTTTACCATTTCACTAAAGCTTTATTCTTCTTTGTTCCTAATAGATCGAAGGAGTTACCTGGCAGTTCAATGCAAAATATGTTTGGTCTTCTAGCATTTCTACACAGCTCTGCTTTAGAGCATTTGAGTACTCTGCAAAGAAAAAAATGTTTTATTCAACAAAGGTCCCTTATTTCCAGGTCCAACTTTTTAATGAATGTATGTGTAGAACTGGAATATTCAGATTGTGTCCAAATTGACGTTATTAGCTTCATAGCAGTACTGAGAATTATTCATGAAAATGTTTTTATATCACAGCATCCCTTCTCAGACCAACAAAAACCTTCATTTGTGGTTTTTATTAATGGTTGGTTGTTAAATTTTCACCAATTCATCAATGCACTTGCACACAATTTAAGGTAGTGTCATATACACCTAGACTCTCAGTAGTACCACCTGTTACATGTATTATCAATTTCAGGGGAAGTAGGGTTTCATTTGAATCCAAATAAAGGTAGTGATCTTGTCTGGCTTAATGTTCAGCTTCAGTTTATTGTTGTTATTTTTTCTTTTCTATTTTATTTGACAATTGAGCTCGAAACAATCAGAGATCACGTTTTAATTGTGAGGCAGCACAGTGGTGCAGTGGTTTGCACTGTCATCTCACAACAAGAGGGCTCTGGGTTCGACTGGGGCCTTTCTGTGTGGAGTTTACATGTTCTTCCCTTGAATGTGAGTGCATTGTCTGTCTCTGTGTGTCAGTCCTGTAATAGATTGTCTCAGAATTCACCAGCATACAGTAGCTCAAAGTCCTTCAGAGGCCATCCTCTCCTAAGCCAACTGTTATTGGGTACAGTATCGCTGAGGTACATATGATTCACACAGCCAGCCAATTCAATATAGTGAATCTTCTTCATAACAGGACCTTAGACTCCCTTTTACCTCCTCCACCCCTACCAGCCCCAAAGAGGTTTTTTTTTTTTAAACCTAATATTTTATTTAATGTCACATAGAGGGTTTGAACACTACAAAACTGCAAACAGATAATCTTAGATGATATTTTGGGTCATCCAGTGCAACCAGTTTTAATTTTCCGGTTCACAAAGAGAGTATGGAGAGAATGGATTATTAGTTAAATATGATGCTGTTAGTTATTTAAAGTAACATTATGAAATATTGCATACAATATATGGGCTAGTGAAAAGCCTTACTAAAGCAGCTGACAAAAGCTTCAGTCCATCTTGTTGTGCCTGCTTTCAGTAATTCATTGTGCTTGTCTGAACCCTGCTTTGAGCACAATTCTGTAGCACAAAAATAAACAGTCATGAACTAAGCCAGGTTTGTAAATGCAGTGCCTTAAAATTTGAAAAAAGGGGGAAAAAACACAGGTTGTGGGTTTTCTTTCAGTGGAAATGTGCAAAGAAGGGCTAAAAAATTCACTGAACATCAAGAGTGACATCTGTTCCAAAAACAGTGAATAGATGTGACCATACTGTAAACCCAGCCAGCAGACCACATGCATGTGGTCTCTGTCCTGATGTTTGCTTTTGACAAACATAAAGGGTAAATTGCAGTGGAGTATATAGTATATAGTATGTCTCTGTGTCTATGCTGTAACAGCAGCATCCGTGCTCTTGTTCTTCTTGTACTTTGGGCTAAAGCCCACAGACTTAATTGACTTGGCACTGTAATGTACTCTGGCTTCAGAAAGTATTAACATTCTTCACAACTTCTTGTGTTGTAGACTTAATTTTAAATGGATAAATTTCCATATTAGTCAGATAAAGCTTTAAGAACACATAAATGAATTTTAAAATTCATATGGAGGCCAACAGCCAACCAATGTAAAGATATTAAAACAGGTGTAATGTGTTCTCTCCTTCTGGTCCTTGTCTTTAGTTCTTTACCAGCTGTAACTGATTTATTACTTCTTTTTTTGGCTAGAGCAGACAATAGTCCAGCCTGCTGGATATATGCATGCACACAGTATGTCTTATCAAAAACAAAAGGTCTCTCTGTATCACTCTGACAGAGAAGTGAGATAACTTTGAGATGATAAAAATCAGATGTGGTAACAAATTCATGAGCCTTAACATTCAGGTCTGAATCAAAAATGACACCAAGGTTTCTGGCTTGTTGGCTTAAGATGAACCCAAGAGAAATAAATTCAGTGGCCAGTTTCTCTCTCTTTGAGCCTTTAAAGAAAAAACTAAAATATCAGTTTTATCCTGGTTGAGCTGTAAAAGGTTCTGTGACATCCAAACACTTGTATCTGACGTACATCTAAAAAGTGAGCAAATCAGCCCAGTCTCATCAGGGGACACAGCCACATAAGCAGGCATTCGGACCGAGTGTGGTAAAACACAGCTCCCTGTGTTTTTATGTAAGGGGCTGTGTTGGTCTGGGGGGGTGAGGGGTCACAGGGGGAGGGTTGTAGGCATGTATGATATGGCCACATTGTGACAAGCTGACATGAGTGGCTTCATTTCACATTTCCAGCCTGAGTTCCTCCTAAGTTTTGGTTATCCATGCTCCTAACGTAGCCTACTCCAGGATCAATTAGCACCACTCTACCACCACTGTGTCAGCATTGAGAGGTTAAAAAAAAAAACAACCAGTACCCTAAGTAACAAAAATGCTTGGTGTATTGTTATGATGTGTTTGTATCTGTGGCCCAAGTTGGAAGACAAAAAGCAGTCAATACTCATGCTGACAAGGTAAACAAAAAAGTCTTCTTCCCATGGGCGTCCATGTTCTGACCATCCCCCATATGTTGGTCGCCACAACACCTTTGCCGGGTGTTGTCACCATCCGGTGCAGCACATGGCTATATTGTTTTGTTGGAGCCCCCTGTGGTGAATGCAGTCTCCCATAGAACTAAATGGAGAGGGCTGTGTTTTTTCACAGTTTTGAAACTCAATCTGGATGTGGGCTAAAGCTGAATGTCATCACCAAGGGGTGACACAGGTTCAAAACAAAAGAATATTGGTTACTGAGTGTAGATTTATGGGCAAAATGGCAATTTTGTTAATTTAGAATTAAATCTACCAAACACCAAAGTGTGCAAAAAGTGAATGGGTTTGAAGCCACTGCTGGGCACATGCAGGTCAGGAAAGAGAGAAAGCCAAATGAAATTGGTCACTGTTATGCTGGACGGACACTGAGACTGCAAGTGAAAGAGGAAGGTGGTGACTCAAGGCACGCAGACGAAACATAATAGGACTGTATGAAAGAGGTTGTAGCAGAAGAAATGTGATGGGAGAGTACCATTAAATTATCCATTTGCTTTAAATTGCAAAATACTGAACTCAAGGTTATCAAGGCTCCTGGGTCTTTATACATTCAGCTATCATCACTGGACCACATCCTGTCCTAGCAGTTTGTTTAATGGAGCTTCCTGACTAGTGCTGCCACAAGGGATGCTCTGCTTTAAAATTTAAATAAACAGAATAGACTACACGTTTTTCAGATACAGTTTGTAGATATAGTGAAGCTTTGGTTGGAGTAATCATCTATTCCTTATACAGTATGTCATATTTAAAACAACAGTTTGTTGCTGTTGTTATACTGGGATTGACTGGAAAACAGGTGCAGTGTATGTTCTACACATACAGGGGCAATAATATTTGGTTGTCCTTGCATACCAGCTTTTCTTATTTATTTGTTATTAGGCAGTAAACAAATGAGCAGGGGCAGTGTAATGGGCAAATGCATGTAATCCCATTTGTTTGCTCTTTTGCTTGCTTCTGCTGTATTTGTTTTACTCTGAGATCATCAGCAGGTGGAAATTGGTTCTTTTAAATAACTGATTCACAAGAAAATGACATGAAAGATGGGTTTATGAATGTCACATTGAATATAGTTTACAGTGTTGGATGTTGACATCAAAGTCTCAGTTGCCAGGGCCTAGTACACGTAAGGGAAAAGGTTTATTCAATTTCTCACTTTGGAAGTTTTTTGTTTTTTTTTAAGTCCTGGATCCATGTCAGAAAAACCCACTGCCTCCTCAGGACTTCATGAAGAACATGAGAAAAGAGCTATTTATTGGCCTGGGCCTTGATCTACCGCTTAGTTATTTTTAAACTGTGGCCATTGGGGATAAAATAACTTTTCCAATGCTGCCAGTTTCATTTATGTACAATATAATAGATAACACAGCAATATTGTAATATTGAATACATTTGATTTTATGGCTTCATTTCTGCTCTTTCAAATACTGCATACTGTACACCATGCTGACTTAATTATTTTTGTCTGATATATACTGTATCTAATATTAGCTTGATCTGTTTCCATACAGATTTTGGCCAATATTATCATTTTTGTGTGTGGCAATATGGCGGGAGCATACCACAAGCATCTGATGGAGTTGGCGCTTAAACAGACTTATCAGGACACCTGCAACTGCATCAAGTCACCTATTAAATTGGAATTTGAGAAGAGACAACAGGTAAAGTGGTCACTATGTTTTAATGACCAGTGAGCTAGTGAAAGTCAGAAAGGCAGTGAGTTTACGTGTAGTAGATTATGTGTAGTAGTGTTGAGTGATGGGGAATGAAAATGTGCATGAATGAGGAATGAATGGCAGTGACAGCAGTGTTTGTGTAAGGCAACAGATGAGCAAGTAAATATATGAAAAGAAAAATTATATACTTATATATATGAGATTTGGAAGATAATATCAAGTTCAGAACTAACTGCTACACTTAGACTACATCATTAATTTTATCAAATGTTCATTCTGCAATTCTTTATCTGCCTCTTGTGCAGAATTAACCTAAAATGTACCAGTCTTGGAAATCGGTCAGCTCTACTTATAGCTGTCAGTGCTTGATTCCTGTTGGAGGAGGATGTGTGTGAGAGGCTGTTTTACAGAATGTGGTAATTGTTAATAACCTCAGTTACTGTGATTATGCCTGGAGCCTAGTGCATGTGTAAAATTCTCTTGAGTTTCCTTTGACTGCTGGCTGAAATCTGTGCCTTTGATTAACAAGATATAAGAATATCTACTGCTATACAGTATTTATGTCACTGGCAAGAGTGTGACTTTACAGTGAGGCTCTGGACTAAATGATTTAATATGCTCAGGTCCATCTGTACGTTCTTCCATTTACACTTCAATTGAACATTTTGGGCACTGATTGGTACTGGCGCAGCTATGTGTGATTCATCCATTACTACTTTTCCATTCATCAAATATGCTGTTGGTCACATCTCAAATACCTGAGATAATGCACAAATGAGAATCAGTCCTCCCCTTTAACATTTGCTTAATATATATCTTGGCTACGTCATTCCCACGATCCTTTTAAGTTTCTAAAAATTGTTCAAATGCTGATAGTGTCTGAATACTGTTTCCAGAAAGGGTTTCTTTCTCCTACAATATGCTGCCCACCAGCTGCACTGTGTGTGTCTGTGCCGTTGTGCTTTTCCTAACGTGCTGTGTGTTAATTTGGAACAGGTTAGAACAGTTAATGCTGATACGTTTGGTGCTGATATTTACAAATAGTGTGGTGTCCTGTGAAAAATGATCAAGGTATTTATAAAACTTTACTGCTGTTTGAGCTTGGGATGTAGATGGCTGTTAGTTATAGCTGCTGCTGTTAAATATTTTGGGTAAGCTATCCAGTCAGCAGAGGATGAATCCAGCTGTTATTGTGAAAGCCCAGGCTTGGAGAGGAGCTGGTTATCCTGTAGTGAATCCAGCTTGTGTTTTTGCAACTGCCATGAGTAAAGCCAAACATGCCTTAAGCGGAGTATTTCACTGTAGCCCTGGAGTGCCGCTGCTGTCTGGGACAGATGGAAGTAACAGTGCAGAGACCCATTTCACCTGGGTTTTCGGTGCACTCCTGTTATATGCTGTTTACAGCTTGCTTGTATCCAAAGTGCCTTGCAGTACAGTGAGTGCATACATTTTCAATTTGAGTAGTCCACGGGACACTTATATGAATTCATCTTAACCCCAAAGTCCTGACAGCATTTGTTAGTAGCCACCATGGATTTCTCCTTATGGTCGAAGGTTCTGAGCACCAGAAACAGCGCAGGGTCGACTTGTTGAGTTGGAGGTGACGAGTGTATTCTCCAGTCAGTTTTATTTGCTAAGCTACTGCTAAATAAAGCAAATGTTTTGAGGGTAAAGGTATGGGTTTGTCTTCTGGTGATTGGCACTAAAATAATGAGCAATGAAAAACCTGTTTTTGCTCTGAATATTACTTTGAGTAGCAGTAAGTGAACCTGACCCAATTAACTTTCACTTAGCACTTGAAGACTGGAGGTTGCCAACATAATGGGGACAGTGTTTTGTCTCCTCATTTCATCAATTAAATTCGGTCTGAATTCAATTATGCATCAATCTGCTGAAAATATATAACTTTTTCAGCATCACGTTGGTGTCCCTAATCCCTGGTTACACAATGTCCAAACTTTGGATCTGAAAGATTGTTTTGCTGTTGAGGTCAAAGCTTGAATTTTTTAATACTTCTAAAGTTCTGGTCATGATACTGCCTAACAATGAGTGGCTCTTCAGGGTGTTGAAGTCCTTTGTTGAAAATACTCTGAAGCTAAAACAAACAAAAAAAACAACAACAATTTGAAGTGAAGGCTTTTTGGTGGGTCATCTGATCAGAAATGATAATTAGTCCTACATGAAACCTTATTTTAATCACAAAAATTGCTCATAAAATTGGAAACATTGTCTTTTCTGTCATTTTCCTGACTGTCCCTGTACTGCTGTTGCTTTTCTCTTTGTGTTATGGCCATCAGGAGCGTCTCCTCTTGTCACTGTTGCCAGCGCACATCGCCCGTGTGATGAAAGCTGAGATCATTCAGAGGCTGAAGGGCCCAAACTTTGGGCAGATTGAGAATACAAACAATTTTCACAACCTCTATGTCCAGAGACACACTAATGTCAGGCAAGTATTTTTTATTTGGGTTAGGGTTTAGATTCATGCTTTTGAAAGCTACAGTGTTTTATGGAAAACCAGTATATTAATATATATTTTTCTATCTCTAGTATACTGTATGCTGATATAGTAGGATTCACGCGACTGGCCAGTGACTGCTCACCTGGAGAGCTGGTTCACATGCTGAATGAGCTGTTTGGCAAATTTGATCAAATTGCCAAGGTAAACATGTAACATTTACTAGGCCCTGTCACTAAATATCACATCCTAAACATGTGTTAATTTTGCTTATCTAGCCTTTCTTCTACATATTATTCAGTGTTATATCTCATGAAGAGGAGAAGTCCACCCTAAATGCTGAGCACTGTGTAAATCAGCTTTTAGTGGAGTATCTTGCAACTGTGATTGCTTTTTATTGCTTGGTGATGATTTTGCCTTTTGCCTGCAAATACCAGGTCAAACGTGGATGATCAGATTTAACACTGATGTTTGCAGTGTAGCTACGATACAGTGTGTGGTGCAAATATTGAAACAAAAACCCATTTTCCCCCAGAAATATTCTGTTTGAAGGCAATGATTTTCTAACCCCTGGACATAGGAACTGATATACTCACTGAAATATGCACCCAGTAACTAACTACCATGAACCTGAGAACAGAGTTCCTTGCAGACCTCTGTCTTTCATGTTAATAATTCAGGACAAGACCCAATTCCCCCTAAATTAATATCAGTCTGCAGTTATAAGCAGCTGATAGGGGAATACAAATTTACCATAAACTCCTCCATGTACTCCTCTTCCTCCACAGTGGTGCTTTCTATCATGGGTGCATATTCTTCTGCATCAGGTGACACTTTTCTGTCCTTTTGTTGCCTTTCCTCATTGTCTGCTTCCTTGAATATTGGACATTCCAACATCTCTTGGATGTAGTCTTGTTCCTTTGAGACCTCTATTTGCAAAAAGACTATTTGTCTTACGGCTTCCTGCAGGGTTAATTCAGTCACTGGGTCCCCAAAGGCCAGAATTGTTTCAGTGACCTCTGACCCTTCATTGCCACCTCTTTTGGCTTCGTCCATGTTCTACCCAGAACCTGTTTTTACAGCCTTGCTGACAATTCGCTATTGTTTGTTTAATGTCTTATTTTGTTAAAGTTCAAATTTTGCTATCACCTTTTCAAAATTAAGTGTAAGAGCCTGTTTCTTTACTGATGGCAAATCATACATGGACAAATCAATCATAGAAAATATGGAGACTGCACTTTTTCCACTCAGTGTAGCTATACAGTAAGGCATGTTTAAAAAAAAAGGTTGTTATGTGATTAAAAGGTGCCTTGAATGTCTGACAGTGAGATCCTCATCGGATTTCATGAATCTGAGTTAGTGTTCCACATTTTTATGTGCAGGAAAATGAATGTATGCGGATTAAAATTCTTGGCGACTGTTACTACTGTGTGTCTGGCCTGCCAGAGTCTCTGCCGAATCATGCTAAGAACTGTGTGAAAATGGGTCTGGACATGTGTGAGGCCATCAAGTAAGTGACACTTGTATAACAGTGCTGCTACAGTACGACAGCCCCATTTCTGAAAAGCTTACTTCTATGTTAGTTTACAATTTGTTGTAGTTAATCATGTAAACATCACTCAACTCTGCAATACTATTGTAGAAGTAAACCTTCAACATCAGTGACCTGAAATTATATGTACAGCAGTGGCTCATTCGTCCCAACATAACCACATGAAAACTGAAAGCGGAACTAATGGTAAATGAACTAAAAATATTACTTCATTACAATTCAAATGTATGTGATACATTTGACTAGTGCATTATTAAGATAGCTCTGATATGCCTTTAAACACAATGCTTTTTGAAATACATATATTGAGACATACAGTTCTTGCTAACCATGAACTTTTCCCATTTAAGCTGCTTGACATGTTAAAATGTAGCAGTGGTAAGTGTGAGGTCCTCTCTTACCTCTAGGCATCATTCTGAGACAGAATGATTGATAGAGCTCAAATAACAACATGATTGCAGAACTTGACAGTGTGTTTGTGTATATGCAAGCCAATATTTTGACCAAGGTTTTTTTCTTTTTCGTAGTGTTGCAGTGTAACTCTATATCCACAATAAGGATCACAAAATGAAGCATCTTTGCTAGCAAGACCAGATGGCATGAGTGATGGTTTTCTGCTTTTGGTACTTGACAGGAAAGTACGAGATGCCACAGGGGTTGACATCAACATGCGTGTCGGTGTGCATTCGGGGAATGTCCTGTGCGGTGTGATCGGGCTTCAGAAATGGCAGTATGATGTTTGGTCACATGATGTCACACTAGCCAATCATATGGAGGCAGGTGGTGTACCAGGGTGAGTGACCTGGAAGTAAAACAGAAGCTCTTGTTTCAGTTTGCATAAGGTGCCATTACATTATGTTGTGTTTGCAGTGTCAGCTTTGTCTGGTTGGTAACGTTCAGCATATGCAGGGTATAGTCAGAAAAATAATACCCATACAAAATCTACTTGTTTATTATTTATTGCCAGGCGAGTCCACATAACCTCAGTGACACTGGAGCACCTGAAAGGTGCCTATAAGGTAGAAGATGGAGATGGGCAGGAAAGGGACCCCTATTTGAAGGAACATGGAGTCATCACTTACCTTGTCATCATCCCAAAGGTACCATAGCATATACTGTACATCACATTCAATATAATGAACACTGGACATTGAGTAAAATGCAGTAAAAATAACAAAACGTCCATGTTTGTCCAGGTGGAACATCGTAGCCCACAGCATCATTACCGTCCCAGACACACTCTGGATGGAGCAAAGATGAGGGCCTCAGTCAGGATGACCCGCTACCTGGAGTCATGGGGAGCAGCCAAGCCCTTTGCCAACCTACACCACAGAGACAGCATGACTAATGAGAATGGGAAGATCAACACTGCTGTGTGTAATTGTTCTCTACACCTGCTGTATGCTGTGATTTACAGTCAGTACAGAAAGTATTCAGACCCTTTCAAGTTTTGAACATTTTGTTATGTTTGAGACTCATCTTAAAATGGATTCAGTTCTTTTTTTCCCTCATCAATCTGCACATAATACTCCACAATGATAAAGTGAAAACAGATTATTTCAGTGTTTTGAAGGTTTATTAAAAATAACAGACTGAAATTTTCCATTTACACAAGTATTCAAACCCTTCACTTGGTTAAAGCACCTTTGGCAGCATTGACAGCCTTGAGTCTTCTTGAGAATAAAGCTACTTGGCTCCTTTCTTTTGGAATTTTCTTCCATCCTTCTTGGCAGAATTGTTCAAGGTCAACCAGGTTGGATGGGGAGCGTTGGTTCATGGCCACTTTCAGGTCTCTCCAGATTCTGGCTGGGCCGCTCCAGGACTTTCAGACTTTTCCTGAAGCCACTCCCGTGTTTTCTTAGCTGTATGCTTTGGGTTGTATTGTTGAAATGTGAATCTTCACCCCAGCCTGAGATCCTGAGGACTCTGGAGATTTTCATTCAGAATTGCTCTGTGTTTTTCTGCATCCATCCTTCCCTCTATCCTGACTAGACTCCCAGTCACAGAAAAGCATTCTCACAGCCCGATGCTGCCACCACCGTGTTCGACTGGAAGGATGGTATTAATGAGGTGATGCTCAATGCCTGGTTTGCTCCACACACACTGTTGGGAATTGTGGCCAAATAGTTCAGTCTTTGTTTCATCGGACCAGAGCATTTTGCTTCTCATGGTCTGAGAATCGTTCAGGTGCCTCTTGGCAAACTCCCAGCGGGCTGTCATGGGCCTTTTAGTGAGCAATGGCTTCTGCCTGGCTGCTCAACCATAGAGGCCTGATTAGTGGAGTGCTGTCCTTCTATAGGGTTCTCCCATCTCCACAAAGGAACTCTGGATCTCTCTAGATCTCTTTTATTTCTGAATGATCGAGGCTGCTGTGCTCTTGAGCACTTTCAGTGCTGCAGAGATGTTCTTGTGTCCTTCCCCAGAGCTTGACACAATCCTGTCTCACAGGTCTGTGGACAGTTCTCTCCACCTCATGGCTTTGTTTTCACTCTGACATATATGTCAACTGTGAGATCTCATATAGTCAGGTGTGTGCCTTTCCTAATTATATTCAGTGCATTAAATTAGGCACAGGAGGACTCTAATCAAGCTATAGAAGCATCTCAGTGACCATTGACAGGAGCAGGATGCACCAGAGCTCAACTGCGAGATGTCATAACAAAGGGTCTGAATACTTATGTAAATGGGATATTTGTCTTTTATTTTTGATACATTTACAACACTCCAAAAAGCTGTTTTCACTTTATCATTGTGGAGTATTATGTGCAGATTGATGAGGGAAAAAAAGAACTGAATCCATTTTAACATGAGTCTGATACATGACAAAATGTGGAATACAAGAAAGGGCCTGAATACTTTCCATAATGACTATAGGTGATGGGGATGTTCAGCTGAACTGCTCTTGCTCTGTGTGTAGGATGTGCCAATGGGGCAATATCAGTTCCAGCGGAGATCAGAAAGGCAAGCTGCTCATTTTACAAGTCCAGCACAATATTTTTTGACAAATTTATCCCCCCCCCCCAGTGGAGGTTTGTGCCCTCATATCACTAATATTATGTGAACTCAAAAGATCTGTTATTTTTCTTGTTATACATTAAAGGACAAAGTCTCAGAAGAAACGTTTTGAGGAGGAGCTTAATGAAAGGATGATTAGGACCTTTGATGGGATAAATTCACAAAAGTAAGGGACATTTTAAAAATACAAATAGTTCATTCCACAGATATATTAGGAACAAAGTATATTCAGAAAGTTTAGGAAACTGTCCTAATACCAGTGAGCTGTGCTACCTTATGAAATTACAACTGCTGACAAATAAATTGACATGTCCCCTAATTTAATATTTTATTGCCTCTCTTCTTCTTTCAGACAGTGGCTCAAGTCTGAGGATATCCAAAGGATATCTTTATTCTTTCACAACAAATCCTTGGAGAAGGAGGTAAGAGGCAGTTCAGGTAAAGAGACATCATTCACCCCTTGTATTGGAGTAGTTGTTTCCAAGAGAATTACAGAACATACTGTTACTGTATTTCTTGTTCTTCTATGTGAGTGCAAAATTGAGAGGCTTAGGAAGTAGCATGAATCCATTTTAAAAGCCTGTTGCTGAAACTTGACCTTCTTTTTATCCTTTTAGTACAGAGCAACAACCTTGCCGGCCTTCAAATACTATGTCACCTGTGCTTGTTTGATCTTTTTCTGCATTTTTATTGTGCAGATTCTCGTCCTCCCAAAGTACGTGTGCTTTATTTAACTATTTTAGGACTGCTAACAGTTTATTCTGTTAGTGTATATTTATTCTGATGCTATATACTGTACATTACTAACTTTGCTTATGTCTTTGTGCCTTGACAAATAATTTTGTAGTGCTAAGGATGGTGCTGATGACGTTTTAAACCACAACATTAAACTCTGGGTGAACTAAACTTTTTGAACTTTTTCATATTTATTTTTGTCAGAACAACTGTCTTGGGAATATCCTTTGGAATGGCTTTTCTTATCCTTTCCTTGATCCTCTTGATATGTTTCATTGGACACTTCCTGGTGAGTAAATCCATTTACTTCAAACATCTTTGTTTCAGTAGTGTCCTTTTTATATTAAAACCTATATTTAACCAGGATCTGCCCACTCTCTAATGGGACACTTTCATGTTTAGTGTTTGTTATAATGTCATGCCAAAGGCACATGAGTGCTCAAAGTGTCCCTCTGGTCAGCTTAACACCCCATTAAGTTTCCTTGTTGTTGGCTGAAGTGCCCTTCTGGCTAACTCAAGCACCACTCTGGTGTGACCTTGGAGCAAACAATAGTCCTGACCCTGTGTATGAAACAAGTTCTCCTTGTTCACCCCCCCACCCCACCTTTAAAAGCCTGTGCACACCACTGCCTTGGTACATGCATCAGGAGACCATTCTTTAATCATTTCTGGCCAACATAAAAATGCATAAACCCATTAGTGAAATGTCATATTATATGTTTTTGTCATCTTTGTACTGGAGTCACACAGCAGACAGACTGTACTGTGCCGTGGTCACTACTGGTGATTCTGGGGTTTGCATATCATATTTAATACATTATATGTTTGTATTATAAATAATTTAGAGAATGTGAATTTATTTTTAGAGGATCTGTTTAACATTTAATGGTTGTTAAAGCCCCTAAAATTGGCCTGACAGTGGAACTGCTAATACTGTCTTTACATGGCTGGAGATGTCTGTAGATAATGCCAATGCATTTATATCTAACTACTGGTACATAGTCTAAGACATCAAATACACTTCAGCTAGAAAGACCAGAAAAAGATGACTGAGGAGACTAATGAAGGAGAAGGTAAATAAGTAACTGTAAAAAATAATAATACAACAAGGCACTGTACTGTAAAATTCCATAGGCCACAGAGGTGTTCCTTGTGGATGTTGCCCAAGGCTGGAAAACAAAACACTCTGTGACTAAAGTCGAAGAGCCTCCTGTTGCCTGTTGGCAGCTTTATTTGTTGCTGATGGATCTTTGCTTTAGCACTTGTCATGTCATTTTCTGCTTTTTGTGGGATGTATAGACACCCGTCAAGGGTTCATGTGTAAGAATTCACAGTCAGCCTGGTGTTCACCGACTCTGTAAATTTAAACAGACCCCATAATTAAGATGGATGTCTTCCTTGGCAGAGTGTTGCAGAAATGTGTCTTTCAGTTTCCAGACCACATTCAGTTCATTTGTCCCAGCTTTATGTTGCAGCAGAACTATTCAATGTGACTCAAATCTGGAGATTTCCTTTAAAACCATAAATAAGGACTGCATAACTTTAAAATCACTCATGTGATCCTTGTTGGATTTGATCATTATAGACTGCTAAGATTTAAAATAAAAGTAATAGTTAACCTCTCCTAATAAAACTTGGGATAGCCTTTGAAAAGAAGAAAGCTGTAGCCAGTCAGCTGAATTTTCACAGTGCTTATTTTTCGATTCCCTGTCACAAAAGACTTAACTTTGACTGTTTGGGAGCAAATGCTGCTGGGTGCCTTAGAAAGTTCAAACATAGTTGGTGACTGATGTGTGACTTCTGCTGCTGCTGTGACCATGTAACTTTACATCTTCCACTTACAGTGGCTTCAGAAATTATTCAGGCACCTTTACTTTTTACATGTTTTGAAATGAAATTTTACACACTCAATAAAATTACCATTTTTGCCTGTCAATTTACACTCAAATATAAAAACTGAAATCTTTCCTTTAAAAAAAAAGTATTCGTTCCCTTAAAGCTGGGGTCTGTAACTTTGGGACCTGGGTGGATTTGGGTAGAGAATTTGAAAGAGTACAATGTCCAAGTCCCTCCCTCTGCCTCTGCACTGATCTTCTGCCCTGCCTCCTGCAGCCCCTCCTTGCAGAGAGGGGTCTTGTGTACATGGAGACTAGTAACCATGGCAACAGAGCTACACACTGAAGGAAATGCAAATTTTACTCCACGTACCTGGATAAAAATGTTTTCCAATCAGAGGCAGAGCTGTTTGTGCATGAGATGACTGACAGTGGGCTGCACCACCTCCTGGTTCTGATTGGTTGTTCACATTTGGGAAGGGTGGATTTCTTTCAGAAGGATTTACAGGCACTAGGAGGAGCTAGAGGACCCTGATGTTTTCACAGTATATCGCTGTTATGTGTTACTGTCAGGATATTATGACAGTTTCAACCATTATGGCACAAAGTGATTTTATTTATTTTTTTATAAAAGTTACAGACCCCAGCTTTAATTCACTACTTTGCAGAAAGACCATTTGGCAACAGTTAAGGTGTTGAGTCTTTTTGGGTTAAGTCTCTACAAACATTGCACACCTGCAATCAGGCGGTTTACTCAATATACCTCACAAATTATCTCAAGTTCCATCAGACCACTTGGTCACTATGGAGTAAAGATTGATAGACCCGTGTGAAAATAAATCAACACAGTGAAGTGTGTAAAAAGTGGGGCTGAATACTTAATGAAGTCAGTGTAAATCAACCCTGATAGATTCTTTTTACATTTTATGTAAATTCTTATTTGTGTGTTTTATTCAAGTCATATTATGATTTGAACACATGAAGGCACTGCTATGAAGATGAAAAGTAACTGACTATAACAGGCCCAGACAGCATTTGCTGAAGATTTTTGCACTCATGAAAACTCAGTAAGAAACACTATTGAGTACAATTGCCAAGAGTGTACTGTTTGTACAAACATACAGACTTTGCCCTCAGATTGATTTGATTAGTGAAGCAGGAGGTGAATGCTAGTTAATAACCCTGTTAGCTTTGCTTTAAAAAAAAAAAAGATGATTAGAGTCTAACAGAAGGGTTTGTTAGTCGTGATTGTCTACAACATTTTATACATGATGGGATCACTTGAAGTGATCATTTTGTAACAGTTATTGCATGTAGTTTGAAATAAATTACAACATGCACTGTTAGGCTGACAGCTCCCCTCTCTCCATTACTGTATGCCTCCTCAACTTTTTGATTGATCCATCCATTTTCTGTCGGGTCACAGCAGGCAGGTTAAGCAAGGTAGTCCAGAAATGTTGGCTTACATTCAGCTGCAAACCACAGCAGTAGATGCTGAAGGTCATACTCTGATGGAACATGGAAGGGGAAATTAGCTATAGAGACCAAAACTGTTTTTTTGTGCCAGGCTGTAAACATGTTTAATTCTGCTGTTAAGTTGGGCATTTTAACACAGGAGTCTATGGGGACTGACTCCCTTTTGGAGCCAGACTCAAGTGGCCTTTCGAGGAACTGCAGGTTTAGACACTTCCGCAGTGGCTTCATTTCTCAGCCTCAGAGGTTTCCGCTTGCTTCAGAGACTTCTGCCAGAAATATGTGTCTGCTTCCTCCTCAAAGGACATGTTTGTTGGGTTAAGGGGTTCCTCAAAGTGTTCCGTCAATTGTTCCTTTGTGTACTCCATTTCATACATTCTTGTGTTTGTGTGTTGTTGTGTGTATGTAACCCTGAAGCACTGCAGTAAAAGCACCTCTACTTCTTGGATGTGGCTGCTGAGGTCATCAGTTATTATTGCCAACAAGCCATGGCCTCGCATCACTCTCACCATGACAACCACAGCTCTAATACTCATAATGGCAGTCTTCAACATGGTAAGCTTTTATGTACCTGTACTGCAGTAGGGGAAAGGTTTCACCATTTAGAGATTCACTAGGAATGAAATACCACAACTTTTTAGATTAAACTGCACAACAACTGGACGTTTTACCTACAAACTGTCTTTTTTGCATCTTCTGTTTTCTTTGCCAAGCAGTCTATTAAATGACTTTTTTTAAACACGAAGATTATGCTTTCCTTGCATAAGTGTCAACACAATATGCATGTAGTGATGAGGGAATACTTGATATAACACTTTTATTGTAATTTTGCTCCTCTCCATTAATTCTGACTGATTGGAGTTTATTTCTGTAAGGAGGGAAAAGAGACAAATAAAAAGATGGAATAGTATCTTGAGGCTTATGGGGATGTTGCATGATAAAGCACAGTGTAAGGACCCTGGTTTAGATCTTCACACAAATCAATTCCAGAGATTATAATCTGGTTTTGTGTCTGACATGGGTCATTTGCTCAGGCGGTGGAACCAAATTAACTTGGCTTTGCTCAGTGGGGCAGCCAATCTTCATCTTATCCTCCAGGTTCTCTTTAAAGGACATTACTGAATGGTTGTCACTATTGGCCTCTTATCTAACAAGATTAAATTTCCTCCGGCAAGTACAATGTAGACTAGTTTGTCTTTTCACATGCTGATGTACAAGGTAAGTAGACAGAGAGAGAGTCTGTTTGTAATGTGTATGCGTGGTTTGTTTTCTGTGGTGGATTTTTATTGGAACGTTTAGTTTGTTTTTCTTTTTGGCAATGCTCAAAATTCAGACAAACTTAATTTCTCTTTGTTTGTGTTTTCCTTTTTAGTTCTTTTTAGAAGAGAATGTGCTGTCTCCACTTCCGGTTTACAATTCATCCAATGAAACACTGTTGTACCCTAATGGACAACTAACTAGCTTCACTGACAAAAACAATTTCTACCTTCCTGTAAGTAAAGATGAACATGATCATGGCTCTATATAAAAAAGTCCTTTCCTCCTTGTTACCTGAATAAAATAACCAAACTGTCTCTCTTCCTGTCTTTCTTTTTCTGTCTGTCTAGTATTTAATTTATAGCTGCATCCTGGGCCTGATCTCTTGCTCCGTGTTCCTGAGAATAAACTATGAACTGAAGATGATTATTATGTTGACAGCTGTAGTGGTTTACAATGTCATCATTCTAAAAACACACGCTTCCCTGCTGGACGAGTATAGCAGATTCCTGTACAAGACTGAAAGTCTGGACAGGTAAGTATACAGTGCCAAACCGTTTAAGGGGGTGTGAGAGAGGGATATAGAGTCGAGGTGGGTGAAGAGAACGTGTTGATGTAGAGAGATAGCTGATGGCCATCTGGTGTTAATCTTGTAATTCTGAGTAAATGGTCAGACATAGTGGCATGAGGACGTAGACTATGGGAAGGTAGAGGGAGAGAAAGATGGGGTTGGACATGTAGCATATGTCATCAGCCCGCTGATAGCTAGGTCTATCTTAACACAGGCCACTTTTTGAGTATTTTAAATTATGTATTTTTTTTCTATGTTTTTTCTGTTTTGTTTCCTGTAATGTTGCTACAGTGGTCAGTGCTTTAACATGTTTATGTTCAGGTTGAATTGTGGCAGGTGAACAAGCATAAAAGGAGATAAAGATAAATAATGTGTGCCTTCTGGGTGTGGGGGCAGTACAGTCGGGTAGTTCTCACTAAATTTGCAAGGCGTTGGTGTTTTAATTATTATTTTTTTTACATGTTTACAGAATGTCTGAACATGTTACATAGAGAGAACAAGTACAGTGCAGTACATGAGACAGGTTTGTAGTTTTTGGAATGCATATTTCACTTTTAACAAAGTGAGGATGCTGTCAGTATTTGAACAGCGCTAGACTCACCTGTCTCTGTAGTGAATTCATAAATACAAATTTTTAACTGGTCTTCTTTGATTCTGGGTTAGGCAGCAGAAAATATGTCCAAGCCAAGAGACAGTCTCTAGCATTTAGTCCTTGAGCTGCTAGATGGCAAATAATGGAATAAGTCCTTGAACATTGTGACAGAAAATGTGATTTTGCCAGACATGAGGAATTTTTCTGATTCATAGGAGAAAGCTCTACTTAAAAATAAAGACTTTTTGAATATAATGTCTAAGGCAGATATTCTTGGAGCCCACAACATCAGTCACTAAGTCATCGTCAACAGTCAAACTCTAAAAAAGTGTCACCAGATTACATCATCACTTCAAGTCTAAAATGTCTCTTTTTTTCCCAGGAGAGAAAGACAGCATGATATATTTTATTTTATTTTTTAAGGAGTTTTCTCTACTGCTAAGTCGATACATTTCATACTGTTTTGATCAGCTGTAGAACAAAAGAATGGAAGTGTTTTGTTTAAAATTGTCAAATTGTAAGGCTTTGGTTGATACAGTCACGATTTAAAAAAAGAAATCTAATGATGCCTCCTGTTTGGATGTTTTTCATCTCTTCAGCTGAAACCTCCCCAGCTCACTCTGGCTTCAGTCACTGCCATTCACTGTGTGTAGAGAATTGATTAGGTGACGAACCAAGCGATTGCAGAACTTGCAGGCTGTTTTCTCACTTGTCTGCTCAGCTCTGCCCTAGATAAGAGTCCATAAATATGCAAGACATGCTTGCAGATTGCTCACAGATTCAAAACTTAGTTCTGGCCAGACTTCACCGCTATAATGAAAAATCTCTTTCATTGTATATTTAAATAATTGAATCTACATTTTTAAATCTGTTTTTCCTTGGCCTCTTATACAGTGTGTTTTGGGTTTTGAGTGTGTGAAAGTCTGAGTATGTACAGTACCAAAATTAGTATGTACTGTAGGAGTTTTGTAAGGTCTCGGTGGATGTACAGTACAATACATACACCCAGCAGCTTGGTTGGCTGCCTAATTCTGCCTGGACTGGTGTCCCATTCGTAGTGCTATGATGGAGGAAAGAGAAGAGTGTATTTACTGTGTAGTGCTGATTGGCTGTGAATCGTGAACACATTTTCTTTATTGCTTTTTGAGAAATGCTTCTACTGAAGGCAACCTAGCAGGGAAGCTCAGTCACTGGAATGTTAACAGTAAAGCTCTTGTAACAGCAAAGCAGAAGTGACAGTCTTAATCGAGTGACAGCTTGGAAGAAAATAGTCTGCTAACCACACAGTACTGATTCCTAGTCACAGATTACTGGTAACAGCCAGAATTTTTAATTATGTTCTTACTTTCATCAGTTTTTTACTTTTTGTCACTTTTCACTCTTTTACTTTTTTCACACACAAACACATTTCTTCCTTTTTCTCTGCCCTTCAAGACCAGGAGTCCTCAAAGACCTGAAGACTATGGGCTCTATCTCCCTCTTTATCTTCTTCATCACTCTGCTTGTGCTCGCTCGACAGGTAAGTCCACACTATAATAGTTTGACTGACATTTTCACCTCCACAGTTCTAAAAGGATTGTAGTTTTCAGCTGTGATCTTACATCAACATCACCGCTGCACTCTTTATTTCATTTACTGTATTTGCTGTTTTATTTTTTCATGTTTTCTCCCCATTTGGAATGACTCTTGTCCCATGCAAAATAGTCACTGCTAAATTTGTCAGTTGGCCAGTGAATGGTGTCGACTGAATTGTTAGAAGCTCCTGCTGAGATATTCCATGATCATGTGATCTATTGCACATGAAAAGAGTTGAACTTAATGTAC